TTAGGCGAAAACCTGAATATAAAAAAGGTTATCAGATGATGCGTATGGAGGATTTTGAAAAAGGGGGGCCCGCGGGATCACTTTGGAACCGGTAAAAAGTCTGGATTAACCATAAATGAAGCTCCATAAGGGGACCCCCTAAATCCGCCTCTGATTATTAATTTAAAAGTTACCAACCTTTTACTAGTAAAGGCGTATTTCCCCTTTCTTTACCCTACATGCAAGAAAGAATTTTCCAATGAGCCGTGGGTTGAATTTCGTCCGTATATTTCCAAAACGTTCCGATATAGATCAGTGATGGCAATCATGGCATCATATGTTAAAACAGTTATTGGCCAATCAAATCGATATATGTTATTTGATCTGCATGGTCGGGATTACCCTTTAACCCGAACTCCTACGTCGTCCAGGTCAAGTAGGGTCATGTACCCGAGCCGTGCTGATTAAATGATATATACCGATTTGCTTGTTCAATAACTATAATTAAGATGCTAATTTATTTATCCATGTAAGTGAGGTCAAGGTCAAATACATATCAGTACCAGACGAACACTTCACTATTGGTCATCTTCGAACAAAATAAAGATTATTTTGTTAAAAGTGTAATTTTTAGAATTATTAGGCTCAAAACAATTATTTAACATGCACTGTCGCCACCGCCGTCTTTCAATGAGCATATATCTCATAAGACGTATATAGAAGATGTTTTCAAGATTTCAATTAAATGGGCTCACAAGGATCATAATACAATATAAGACATTAATAAGACAATAACAAAAAGGTGGGAGATAGACGCACATGGTATACATGAATGTAAATAGACAATTTGGTTATGATATTATGAGCAGATGCACAAATCTGGTATGTCATCCTCGTGCCTGATGCAGATGGGTTGATACATATTGTAAAATGACCCGACTGCAAGAGGCACCATGGGACGATGCTAAATGACATGCCCAAGTTTTCATAGTACTAAATAGAAATATACTTAAATATAATATATATGGGAATACTTCTGATTGTCAATGATAGAATAAATACAAGAAGGTACATTATTGTTTTTGGTGAGTCTAGATAACCACCATGCCATCCTCGTGTCTGATGCAAAGAAGCTAGATCTATATGTTGCCTTCATCAATCAGATCACAAACAGTTATTAATGTATCAACATTCTCTACATTAAGTAGCCAGATTAGTTTTTGGCTAGGAATCAATTGCTCGGCAGTTAAAGTTAGGACAGAGTGAGTTAATCATGGAGTACATGCAGTTTTTCCTAGTTAAAGATGATGTGCATGAAAATAAAAAATGTTTTTCATCATCAATTTCATTTCAAGTGCACCTGAGACATAATCTGTTTTGTCAGGCGAGAAATACCTACATGATATCTACCTTGTTCAATTCTAAGTCTATGTGAGGAAATACGCAATCGAGTAAAATTTCTCCTCCGCTCAGGGGATCGTAATAAAATAAGATCTCTTTCAAGACCAAAATTTGTCTTGAAAATGCTATAGTAACAGAGCTTCCCATCAGAACAGTTGTGCATTTGGAGTCTCCACTGATCCTCGTAGTACTGGTACAGATTTTTTTTGTATAAAAATTTAAAGCTGTAATTGCTTGCAGAAGCTAAACTGTCAACCCCTTTAATATTCTTTAGAAAGAAGTTGAAGGATCCATACCATGATAGAATTTTTGACTCATGTAGTAATTTTGACTCTAAATATGCCTCCTTTCGTAACGGAAAAGATGAACCCAAATTTTCAAGCCTGTGCCAGTATCTGATCATAGACTAACTTTGCAATGTCAAAATGAAGAGGAAATCTACCTAGTTCAAAAAGCGTGGCAAAATTTGCTGCCCTTTTGGCAACGCCAAGTAAATGTTTACAAAATCTAATATGTAGTCTTTCTGAAAAAAGCTTAGGATAAGCCTGATCTACATTTGTAGTCATAGATTTTTAATTTTTTTTAAATGGTTAAAATATCGCTAAATTTCTGAACTATATAAAAGAATAGGTTTAATAGTATGATCAAATACATGAAGGCTGTTTTTCAAACTTGGTTTCAGTGACAGAAAGTCCTTGCGTAGCTTATGGTAGGCTTTTAACGCCTTATTATACAATTCTCTCTGAGCGAAGGAAAAAGATCCAGATGCACTAAAAGTTATTCCTAAGTATTTACAATGTTGAGCACAATCAATAAGTATGTCATTGAAATAATAATTATGTTTGATATGTCTGCCTGCCTTGTTAAATACAAGCACCTTAGTTTTGTTGGGATTAATTTTCAAACACCAATCTTTACAATAAGTACTTAATCGATCAAGTTTACTCTGAATTCCTTTTGCTAAAGTTGAAAAAAAAGACAATATCATCAGCATATAGTAAACAATGGACTGGTCGTGAATTTACAACGACTGGATCAGGCGAATTTTTAAAACAATCAGGAAGGTCATTTATGAAAAATTTAAACAAATAAGGTCTCAGATTATCTCCCTGTTTTACACCTACTTTAGTTCTAAAGAGATCTGTCACCCTATTCTTTAATCGAACACAAGATTTATTCTGGGCATACATGCTCTTAACAATATTATAAAAGTTTGAACCCACCTCTATATTCAACAGCTTAAGTTTTATCCCTGGGTGAATGACAGTATCGAAAGCCTTCTGGAAATCAACAAAGCAGGCAAACACTCTACCTTCTTTTGTATTACAATACTTATCAATAATAGTCTTTAAAATGAACATATGGTCAGATGGTCGTGCTTTTTTGGTAAACCCACTTTGGCTATCATCAATGATATAATATTTATCTAAGAATTTACAAAGACGGGTGTCAAGTATCTTATTAAAAAGCTTCCCCAATGAATCAGTGATTGTGATTCCAGTCGATAATTATTAGGATCAGATGCATCAGTTCCTTTATGAATTGGGAATAAAAAAACCTGTGGTCCAGGGTTCAAAGAATTTTCCATAAGAAAGACAAAGATTAAAAATTTTGAGGAAACATGGTAGTAAAGAAGTTTGACCACATTTTAACATAGATTTGGAGATATGATCTAAGCCTGCTGTTTTATTAACCTTTATAGATGACAAAACAGTAGATATTTCAGTTTCAGAGATCCTACTGTCAAGTTCATTAAAACATTTACTTTTCTCTTTACCCTGCAGTTCATCAGTCAGTCGCCAGTACTGCTTGGGATTTTCATCAAAAAGATTTTCAATTTGATGCAGTTAGGACTGTTTATACTCCCTACATTTGCATTTACGAGCCTAAGTATATACACGATGCAGTTTGTAATAGTGATCTTTAACAGCAGGATCTCTGGGATATCTGGAATATGTTTTTCCATAATTCAGGAGGTTATTTCTCATGTATGAAAGGTTACAGTCAAACCACTTGTGATGTTTTACTTACATACCCTCATATACAAAATATGGTTCATGATACTCTCTGACACTAACACATAATATACTGTACTAGAACCATTCGGTGTAAAGCAAGTTAAGCCACCAAAAGTGTCACCAAGAACTCGACCATTCAATATTCTTATTTGCTTACTTATACACAAGTCAGGCAGGTCCCTGCCCCTTGAATCGAATTTATCATCTTTGCTCTTTCGTTGAAGAATTTGGTTATCGCTGAAATAGGACTGATATAAAGGAGCTAAATTAATACTGTCATTGATAATAAAATCTGTTTCTGAAGCAACTCTGGTATTAAAGTCCCCACACAGTAATATATTACCTTGGTTTTGGTAGAACGCAATATCCTTTTCTAGGCATGCAAGAATATCATGGTCAAGTCCTTTGAGTATGATGATCCTTCCGGGGATTATACACAACACATAAAAAAGTCTTTGTAAAATCCAAAGAATTTCTTCTCTAATTTGACCCACTGAAAATCTGGGATAGAAGATTTTAAAATTTTAATATATGGCTTTACTGAGGGCTTGCGCAATATAGCAAATCCTCCAAAATGTCTATTATTGGATTTCGCTACAGGTCTACATATGAGATGGCAATGGAAAGATCCAATATTAGTTATATTAGAACTATACCCCAAGTGAGTTTCAGCAAGGAACACTAAATCTAGTTTTTCTATTTGCTTCAGGAAGAGTGGGTCTTATATTTTATATATGTAAACAGTTTTTTTTAGACATTTTAGACGATCCGATATCTTTGTTTTCATAGACACTCTGTTATTTAGTAAAACCAAGTCAAAGTGTCCAAATTTTCTACTTTTCTGTATCAATCTCGATTATGTTATATATATAACTTTTCCTTCGGTGCAGTGGCTAAGAGTCGTTGAATGCACGAAATGTTTACCCATATACATTTTGAGAATAAAGAATGGCGTTCACAAAGGAATTTTACCAGTTGGTTTATTTGGAAATTATTAAGGACCTAAGGTTCCAACGACCTAGCTGAGTCAAATGGATTCAGCTATTATCGTCTGTCCCTTTTGGTCTTCGATAGCCCCCTACGTATTCATGTATTTGAAATCTTTTTGAATTTATGCATTACTGTTGAAGTTTAATTAAAAAAAAGCGCATAGGACGCACCAACTATATAAAATGTTTACTGATTCGATATCGCTTCTGGCGGGCTGTCTGATAGTTCCCGAGGGTACAATAGTATTATCAGCGCAGCAGTCAATTTTTCAGTACCGACATATTTGTAATATACCTTTTTTGATTTCCCCGTTGAAAATTTTAGAAATGGTTATAAGAAATAAAGTTTAGAACACTCATAGGAAATGTTGACGGCTATTCTTTTTATGTCATTTTCAGTCATATAGGTCATCACGTGCACGTGTTCAAGTATTGGTATTTCTTAACATTTACCTATTACGGGGCTTTTCGTGCAAAAATATATTCTAGAACGCCTATGCAATTGTACAGAAATTTGTGTTTAATTCGAGATCTAGTTGAATGGATGTGCATTTATAATTGACAATTTATCAAATTTCTTGTGTTTACTCGCGGCATGTGCTCGACTATAAGATAAGATAAGATAAGAATTTTATTAATCTAATCAAGAACCCATAAACGGCATATTTCACAACAACAATATGCACAATATGATTGGAAAAAAGAAAAACAAGAACCTAATATAATTCAATCATGTTATGGACAGGATCAGAGCCTAACACATCATGTGTCTTATATAACTATTACAACATATCTCATAATAATCGAATATCATTAATATATTTTGTTTCCACCTGGATCTTATTTCTTAACACGGAATAATATAATTTCCTAGGCACATAAGAGTTGGTAAATGCTCATTTGTGAACAGGCAAGAAATATTTTTTATCCATGGGTAATTCTTTAAAATTAGTACACTGAAAACTGTTTACTTTATCCAATAATAATTTTCTCTGTTCGTTACTAGTTAAGGACAACTTAATGTAAAATGGGTCTCATCTTCAATAGAATTTATTCCATGTGATAAGCAGTGATCACATAGTCGCTGAGTTCTCTCTATGTATTTTTTTTTACTATATCTATCTTTCTCAATTCTAAGATCATGAGCACTTATTCTCATTTTACATATAGCTCTTCTTATATTAAATTCTTTAATTGACAAATAAGCCTCCTTTACAAAGTCAGTCTTTAGGTTGAAATAGTTTTCTAATTTACTATTACCTTGTGATAAGGTATCAGATCTTTTGACCAACCAAAATGTTTTAAAACTGTTACAATGTTTACATTTTACCAATTTAATAAGTTTATTGACTTTTGTATTCAAATTTTGTATATCAAGTGATTGAAGTACATATCTAAATATAGATGAATACCAACAATTGATGTTTCCTGCATCTAAAATTTTATTACAAACATAAGCATCATAAAGCAACCCATCGTCCAATTTGTTAAGCCTGTGTACATATTTCACCATAGATATAATGACAGAAAATTAAGAGGAAATCTACTTTCTATTGTTCAGTTTTCCACGTATAAGTGTTGCATCTAGAAAAGACTTGTTAGTAAAATACATTTTAAAAGGAGATATGGTAGGATTGCCAACGAGACACCTTTCCATAAAGACCAAAGGACGGTGTGTTCACGTTTCTCCAACATTTGATATTTTTGTATACTGGCAAATAATTTCTTGTTGGAGAAACGTGATTTTTTGGCAATAGGGACTAAGGAAATTACCTGTAAATGGAGTTACAGTGAATCCAGCTCAGTTTAACTTTTGAATGATCGTTAGAAAAAAGTATGAATTGGAATTATTGAAAAAAATATATATTTATTACATCAAAGAGCACTATTATACAAAACAGTGATTTTAACTACGAAACTATTTTACAATCCTATAGAATAATCAACAATATTAAGCAATAATTGAAAAATACACTGAAAAATCAAAAAAGGAAGGTACAGGAAAAATGCTTTAAATTGTGGGCACATTTATAGTTTTATACAAAGAAATTAAAATCTTTAAATTAAGCATACACGGTTTAATTAATAAACAAACGTGTACACGCTTGATTATCTTGCCTGCTTTACCTATGATATCATGATTGAATATATTATAAGTCTGTAATATGGTCAGATGAACCCTGTACACTTTAAAATCATGCCATACACCAAATATAGACAGCTCATTGCTTTAAGATAGTATCTGAGAAACATTTATTGAGTGTAATAGAAAAGGCAGCTTCTCAAGGTATTGCTGTCTAATGTTCGTTGGGCGAAATAACGGGTTGCTGTCTCAAAGTCTGTATCTGTGGTGCTAGTTAGAGTTGATGTTGTTTATTGGGTAGTAGACTAAATACGAGTTGATACATAACTTCATCGACCATTGCGTGTATTGCATGGAGTTGAACAAACTGGGAGACGTACCCTTTAAAAGATTTGTACTATAAATAAGAAGATGTGGTATGAGTGCCAATGAGACAACTCTCCATCCAAGTCACAATGTATAAAAAGTTAACAATTATATGTATTAGTTCACTTGATTCAATATTATTGTCAATGATTTATCAATTGTTTACCAGATTGTGAAATTTCACAATTTGCAGATGACGGTACTATATGGAAATCAGGTGCATGCATTAAGTTTTTTACAGAAAAAATACAACAAGACTAGATGTTATATGTAAATGGTGTTCTTCGTGTGGTTTTTAAATTTCTCTAAGGAAAACTGTAGCTATGTTATTTCCTAGAAGAAAAAGCTTAGAAACTTGGCAATCTTTTATTGAAAAAGATAAAGAAATGAAAACAAAGGACAAAGATGTGAATATTTTATACAGGGTTTATAGTGCACCTCACGGTCTGATAAATATTAAAACAAAGAACGAAACCCAAAATTAGGATACCAGTTATGTATCATTATATTCAGTATACATAAATCAAACTTTGTCTACATATATAGATAAAAACAAATTTGTTAAGATATTTAAGAAAATCTGTTTAACATAAACAAATCAGCTAACATGCAAATAGACATTTCATATCCAATCTGAAGATATTCTTAAAATACCGATTGAAATCAAATACATTTGAAGCCCCCCAAATGACCATCAATACAATATAAACATAAGTTATGGCGCTTCTTACTGTAATAATTGATTAGAAGCAAGTGTAAAAAATTATGCGGATGGTTTAGTTCCTCCTCCTCCTCCTCCTCCTCCGCCTTTACCTTCCACAATCATCAACACCCCAGCACCAATTTCTAGCAAAAATGCGATGATTGATAGAGCAAATGAATAACCAAACTTATAGTCAGTAGTGGCATCTTCTACCCACTTGTCGTTCACTTTGGCACCAAAAATTATAATGCCGATCAAATAAAATACCCCTGAAACGAAACGTAACGGTTTATTAAGAAATAGTTCATCTACTTATTTATTTGGTATGAAGTTTCATGAAATGTTATACCCTCATGACAACCTGGAATTTTCCTAAACCGGCCGGACGATCAGAGTTTGATTGACAATTCGTCATTGCACATTCATGAATTCTTGTACCCGATTTTTCAAAATTCTAGTCATTGTTTGTTCGAATTAATTATACCTTTACGGCCATTATAGTCGATGGATATATAAAAATGTCAACTTGAAAGCAAGCTAAAGCTCTTCTGAATTTAACCGTAATAGGTTGTCCATCTATAGAAGGCCGAAAATTATTCAAGTATTAAACGCAATAAAAGTCATATTATTGTTTTACTATAAGCCAGGCCGTTGGTTTTCTCGTTTGAATTGTTTCACGTTTTGTCTTGACAGGGTTTTGACTTTATTTTGACCTTTTTACTGCATCTTTACGGGACTCTCCTGGTTGATTTGAGAGATTAAGTATTAGTTATTCAAAATAGTTTATCCCGCCAATATGTAAATATGGCAGTGGAATTATTCATGTTTTCTTGGGTTGATAATTTGATTTTGACGTCGGCGTCAGCGTATGACAATAACAGCCATTATATCCACGCACACTACATTTATACACAAAAAATAAATACAATAAACACCAAAATATAAGTTAAATAAATGGAGAATGTGTCCATGGGTAACAGTTGACACCCCCGCTTGCATGTAAAGTTATAAAGGGACATAACCAGAGAACTGTAAAAATGACGCCACCCAAATTCGAACTTGATCTGTAATTTATGGTAATAAGCATTTTGTATAAGTTTCATAACATTTGGTTGAGGCAAATTAAAGTTAGAGAACGGAAACTAACTTTAGGACGTACTTACGGACGGACGTACAGACGGACAAAGGTAACACTTAATGCCCCATCCGACACGGCGGGGCATAAAATATATTGAATAATAACAGGTGCTTGTCCTTAATTTTTTTTTCATATATACATTATATAACATTAAAGTATATAGGGAAAAAAGATTTCAGAGACAAGTGCCTGTGAATGATAAATACAGAGATCAATAAATGTTTCTTATATCAAGTAGCATTCATAGTTTACCTGTGGCAATACAAATAATAGCAACTGCAATGGCAACTTCTCCATTTTTCTGACATTTGCCAACAAATATGTACAGTACAACTAAGAAAAAGGAAACTAAAATGCCAAAAAATCCAAAGGTCACAAATGCTTGAACTACACCATACCAATCTGAAACAGATAAAATAAATCAGCAGTAAGTAATGTATACTATAAATGTATTTCTTCTATCATGTCTATAGAGGCATATTTGAAGGGTACATATTGATAAACTTAGGTCATTCGATCACAAAATATGATAACTGACACTTACAGCAAACCTGACAACATTTTAAAGTCTTTTTAAATTTTAAATTCTAACGGACTGATCCAAAACTAATTTAAAATTTGATTTTTTATGGTGCTTCGTTTCCAAAAGTGTACGTTACTATGTTTTTTTATATTGGAGAGCGTTTTATTTTTCTTTAAAGAATGTGATCGTTTATCAAATTTTAAATGATTAACAAAATTCGTATGAAACTAAAATATTCATTCTTTGATTCGAACTTTACCTTTACAATTATTACGGAAGCCCATTTATGACCTCCCAAAATATATATTTGATGATTCGAAATCACGAATCTAAATCGTTATCACGAATTGAAAGATTCGTTATAGCAGATTAAATTCGTGTTAACGAGTTTCCGGAATTACATATAACAGATTTTGTAATTCGCAATAACGAATTAAATTCGTTATCACAATTTTTTGCAATTCGTGATAACGGATTAAACTCGTAATTACGATTTTTATAAATCGTGATAACGAATTGCATAAATCGTTATTACGTATTGAATTCGTTATCACGAATTCGTAGAAATAGTTATCATAATGTTATGTAATTCGTGATAACGGATTAAAATCGTAATAATGTTTTTATAAATAGTTATAACGGAATAAATTATACAATTCGTTATCACGTTTTTAATCCGTTATCACGTAATACAAAAAAAAATCCGTTATTACGAATTACAAAAACTGTTATAACTAATTCTATAATTCGTGATAACGATTTTAATTCGTGATATCGAATTCAAATTATATTTTTGGGAGGTCCTAAATAGGCTTCCGTAAGTTATAGACAATTTAGCAACATTTAATTTTAATTGATTTTAAAGATTAACATGTTTCAATAGAAAACGATTTAACAAATATGGTTATTATCAAGATGTTTCCAATTTAACAAAATCAAAACGATCTTCCAACTCACCATTCGCCCAGCCATCTATAGATTCACATCCCGTTCCTACTGGCACTTCTGTTTCTCCACATATTCTCCATAAACCCCAATGTAATGGATTAGCACCTAGATCATTATAAACCCAATCAGCTGTCGTATAGGAAATGCATGTAAATAAAGTAGCAATTAATAATAAAATAAAGGCTACTTTACAAAAAATAGATGCTCCCTTAAAATCATCAACCACTCCCATGTCTTTATAAATGACCGAGTTTCTCCCGAACTACAGGTTATAAATTGACACTGTTGACGAAGTTATTTCACTTTTATAGATGTTTGTTGTCAAAACAAATGCTTCCACAGCAATGCACTTTATATATTATATTATATATAAGCATTGTCAGCCAATTAATTTTAAAGACAATAGACAATATTTGTTTGCACATGCATATTAACATTAAATGGTTATGGCGTGGTCAAATACAAACAATAAAACAGACAATTGCATAAGTATTATCTATATGGTATAGTGAAGGTGACTTTCCTATGAGAATTGAAGAGAAAGAAACGACATATGACTACAAGTAATAGTGTTTTCTTAAATAACTTAAAAAATCAGTATATCTATATAACCCGGTTCGCCAAAAGTCATTATGAAAATTAAATTAACGATATGGTCTATCATAAAGAAAATCATTAAGAAAATTTGTCATAATTTTAAGTATGTTTCAGACTCAATAACGGAATGTTGTCAAGCAAGGATGGATACCGCTCGTCTTTAAAGATGAATATCATTTCTGTTCAGTCTTTACATGCTATCTATATCCAACAAATACAAGACATTTAGAGAGAACTGGAATCCATCCTTGCTTGACAACCAATCATCGGACACGGTTATTGAGCCTGCATGCGTATGCATTGGATGTTTTGCATGAATTTTTCGCTTATAGAGAACTTTTAAGATGATTTATGAATTGAATGCTTCTTTTTGTAATTCGTTTTTTCATAACATTTATTACGAATTCATAAATTATAATCTACAAAGAATATTTCATCCTGTGATTGTTGGTCGAAAATTTTACCTGCGAATTATTTTTCGGGTTTTGGTGCCGAAGATTACCTACCGATCGTTACCTATTGATAAACAATCAACACAGAACCACGTAACAAGAGGGACATAAGTAAGACGCTAGAGCGATATATGTTTGTTTTTAACGTTTTCCATGCATTCCCAGTTGTTATTAAACTTTGTCATAACAGTTGTAAAATGATATGGTGTATTGTTTTTTTTCTTTTTTGTAATTTTAGAATCGGTTAATTAAGTAATACTATCTTCTTTCCACGTTTGTTTCCCTTTTCTTTCATCACGGGTTTTCCCTCGCTCTTGCGCTTTCGATTGCCGAAGCTCTAACGAAAGGTGTCATGGGTAAGGTCACTGCATACGGAAAGCGGCTCTCGGCGAAGTAGAGTACTGGAAAACAATAATTCAATAAGAGGACATTTCTGAAGATTTTAATTAAATAAAGGATTTTCTATTTTATAAGAAAGTCCATGTACACGTTCTTGTATAGTAAACTGAATTTAGCCATTCAAGTAAATAAAATATTTAATTTCTTTTCAACTTTTTAATTAAATTTTACTCACGGTATCATATGACTTTAAATACTAAAAGTGTGGCCACTATCAACGGTCATACAACCCTATTACATTACAAAAAGAACCATTCAATTCTTATAAAAACATGTTTATGCTCAGTGCAGCCGTGAAATTGCGAGTTATAAAAAAATTTTCGTTTGTTTTCTTACGCATTGCTGTGACGTTGTCACGGGAAGCACGTGCTTGTCAACGTATATATCATATTTGTTCCGCCTAATGGAAATGATATTACAGAATATTTTTTTTTGTGCACTAAAGTAAACGTAAAACTATTGATACGAAAATATGAATATAAAACCGATACGAAAATATGTATAAAACCAAATACATATAACGTCAAAGTACCCAGATTACACCGAGTACCCGAATTGCACCCATTTAGCAAAAACAGCAGCGGAAATCTTACAAGTTATCCTAGAGACTAAACAATTTGTATTTTTATGATTTGAAATTATATGTACGTCTTTCAAGTTAGCTAAATATATTAAATATACACAAAACATTAATTCACAGCATATATCAACAGATGGAGTATTTACTGGAAAAAGTAAAATCTACGTAAACGTCGACCTGCAACGTCCACAAAAATTCAACTTTTAAAAAAGACCACTTAAAATATCCATTTCTGAAAAAATTAACAGTAATCATGGACTATTGTTTTCTGCTCTTTGGTCGGGTTTTTGTCTCTTTGACACATTCTCCGTTTCCATTTTCCATTTTATTTTCAAATTGCTCTAAATATTTGGAGAAATAAAACAAAATATTAGTTATTTTATTTTTACAGATGTCAATTTAAGATTTTATACATCCATGTAAGGATTTCTATACAAATCCTCAGTTGATCCATTGCCAGCATGAAAAAGAAGTTCCTTCATATAATAAGTTCCGTCAAATGGAAGAGATATTCTGTAATGTTATTTCCGCTGGAACAAATATGTGATAATAAAAAATTTCTATCGGGGGTCCTTATTGGGTTTAGCAACCTTATCAACCGCACAAAATTCTCAACATATTTATTTCCGGATTTAATCTGGACTGTACCGTACTTGCTGTTACTTATAAGTAATACTGTAGTTCCGGTTTCGATTTGGATTGTGTTTGAGTATATGTTGACCTGTTGAATATCAGTGACACTGGCCAAAGAAACACAGACCAAGCTTTACTGCTAGTTCTTAAACAAGGTGACTATAAACAAATATATTAAAAAAAACGGATATGACGAAACGTGTTTACAAATTTCAACTGACGATAAAATCATTCAACATTTCGTCATGATTATTATCTTGTGTATAAAAACAACATTTGCCTGTAACAGTTTAATATAATATATGTTTAATATTAGCCCAGGATGTGGTTCAGGTTCGATTGACTTATTTCTGGAAAAAGGTAAGTTAGTTGTCATTACATTATGCATAGATGTTTTTACATGCATGGCCTCAGACTCCCAGTGTGATACCCTGACATTTTGACATATAAGCAGATACTTTAGCAGGGTTCTCTTTAAGGATTTTTGAAGACGAATCCTGGGAATAGTAGTTTTTGTCCGTGGTCAGTCCAACATTGAGAAAATTACATTTTATCGCTATAAAATTAATATTTCAGTCTCCATGACAAAATAGGACAAGCTAGGATTACTTTTAAAAATGTGTTTTTTTAAAGGATGATATATTTGCTCAGTTGATACAACATTTTACAACTTAATTCATCTTTGGACTCACCAGTTTTCATGACTCATCTTAGTGAGAACCCTGCTGTAGGGAGACTTACATGTAGACTGATAAACACCAATTGTTCATCTTTTTATTAGAGCATAGTTTTTAGAAACAAACCTTTTTTTCAACTTATAACAAAAACAAACTATTTTTACATACATTTTGTACAGGAACAAGAAAACAAAAATTTGTTGTTGTTGTTTTTTTTACTACTGTAATATTGAAGAGAAACAACTGATTTTTGTTCACTTCTCTACATTTATTCCAATAGATTTAAAACAAAAACAATTAATTAAGAAATAAAACCATGTCATCCCTTACACTCTAAAGATTCATTGTTTGTGCCTTAAGTTACAAATAGATATACTCAAAAAATTATAGTAGCCATCTTTTATTGAGATTTTACAATGGATAGACCATATTTAAAAAAAAAAATTACCTTTAAAGGAGTTTAGCCTCTTTAAGGGTGAAATAGAAGTTAAACAAAGGGATGCAAAATGTTATGGTACATGTATATGGGGTCTCATATCCCTGATCCAACTTATTGTTTTGTCAGATTCCTGTATCCCACTTATCATTGTAATAATAATGCATGTAATTTCATGTGTCCCTCCCGACTTTTCCCGTTTATCATTGTAATAATAATGCTTGTAATTTCACGTGTCCCTCCCAACTTCGTTCCCGTTTTCATACACAATAATTTGACTTTTACGAGTCAGGCTTACAAAAAATTGGCCAGTCCGGCGTCAGACTTAGACCCTAATGAAACCCACTGTATACTTATTTAAAATAATAATTTTTAGATTCAAACTTCAACTTCATTACTCGTCAAAGTCCATACTGGACATCTACTAAGGAGTGTCAAGTGATTAGTATGGTATGTGCAAACAATCCAATAAATAGGTAGCTCTGGTGATAAAAACATAACATATATATACACTGTACAAAAGTTCAAGCTTGTTAGTTAATGTTGGCTCTCCATGGTTGGTGCTCCTGAGCATGCTGAGGGAGGATTTGAAGACCTCCAGTGATGTTGCAAGCACAACAGATTCTGACCAAGTGTTCCAGATGGTAACTGTTCTAGGGAAAATTGAATGTTGATATATGTTGATTTTGTAGTGATAAAGCAGGAATTTCAAACTGTTTCTAGTTCTTGTGACAGTAGCTGGTGTTGGAATATAGAGTACTTGTATAGCTATTACTAGTAGTTGGTGGACTACCTTGTACATGAGAGTGACGTTTGCCATGATTCTTCTCTGTTCTAGTGTGTTCCAGTTGAGGTTTTGAACTATTGATGTTACACTGATAGGTTTGTCTGGGTTGTATGGCTGGTTCTTTACAAATCTAGCAGCATTCAGCTGTATCTGCTCTATCTGTTTGATCTGGGTTTTCTCTGTTGTGGGTTCCAAATAGGCATGCTCCACTTTTGACCAGACTAGACTTTGGTGTGCTGTTTTTTTCACCTTGGGTGGATAATGTCTTAGGTTCCTCTTTAAGAACCCCAATACACTTGAAGCTTTCTTGCAGAGGTTGTCAATTTGCAGATGATACTTTAGGGTGTCACTGAGCTCAATGCTCAGGTACAAATGTTTGTGTATAATGGCTCATCTTTAATGGTGTACTGATAGTAGTTTTTTCTTCGTTGATGTTGTAAACTACATGATGGCACATTTCTTGAAGTTAAAATCCATTTGCCATGTTTCACTTTATTGTACAAGCAAGCAAGGTTTATTGGAGACGTTAAAATGGATTGATAATATTTTTGTGAAAAGTTGAGTGTTGCTGGTTGAGGTAAAATTTTGGGAATATGATGTAAAATTAAAGTTAAATAATGGGATCCAACAAAACAGTTCAATTCTTACAGAAAAATTTTAAAAGATTTGTTATACTGTTACTGAGAATAAACAAAATTGATCGTAAATTGAAGAGTTTGTGAACTCTTTACAAATTTAAAGATATATTTTTTGGGGGTTGAAAATAAGAGTCAGGGTTATGTGTGAAATTTAGGCACTGGGAATTCAATTTAATGTTTTGAATTTCAAGTCTGAGGCAGTTGACTTTCACTCATATTTCCCCCCCCCCCCCAAATCCGCCGTAATTTAGATTGGAAGCTATTTAACTACAGAACTGGTACATGTATATACCCCTGTCCTTATGTATGGTATAAGACATGATTGTTTGGTCCACACTGTAAATCAAAACTAGTCAAGTATGCGTATCAATTAAATAGCTCTTTAATATGTTGAATACAATGTATATGATACGATTCTCTGCAAATACATAAATTATAAATCATAAATAAGAGTGAAACTAAATTCCGATAATCATAAAAATAATATACAGTGCATTAATTACTTCTCAGTCAATAATAAAAGATAAAGAAACATGTTTTCTAAGTACAAAGTTTGCACAAAAGATTAAATCAATATATTTCATTTACGGAACATTGTTACAATTCTTGTTAAAGAAATGAATGTTTAAGTTGGATCAAATATATGCTTACCCATTATGCTCTCTTATAAATCATCTTGTGTGTCCAAATACAATCCAACTAATAAACTGCCGTAAACAAATTGAAATAACATCATCATAAAAAAATTAACGTCATAAAGACGGGCGGCAAAGACGGCAAATATAGTTAGCGCCGTAAACGTCAATAATTGTATAGAAAAATGTAGCTTTTACAAAAAGCTTACCTATAAATTAAATAATCAATAATTGTATAGAAAAATGTAGCTTTTACAAAAAGCTTACCTATAAATTAAATAGTAGCAGCTAAGTGACAATGTATTATACACTATTAGTGTTTAAATAAATGTATCTTCTACCAAATATTCAAAAATAAAAATAAGAATAAATATAATTCTTACAATGATTCAATTTCAAGATTTTTTTTTTAAAAGGATACATTGTAAAATAGAAATTAAATAAGATTTGGCAAAAAATTGTAGGCAATTTTGTCACATCAGCATCATTTGTATCATTGAAATTTATTTCACTGCATATTAACCTTACAATTGGATAATATTTAACACTAGCCATTAAGCAATCAATAATCATCAATTATATCTGGACAATGTTTCATTTAAACTGTGTTTTTGAGGTTGGTGGTGTTTTATCCTATTGTTAGAATTTCAGATGTGACCCACTCAAAATAAAACCCTAAATTAAATATGGCATACATGTACCAGCAGAGGACTTGCAAATTTTAGCAATTTTAGTAAAAGTTATTTTAACTAATGAAATATGTGTAACCTTAAAATTGCATTAAAGGAGCATTAGCTACAATTTAGGCAAAAATTTAAAATACGATTCTTTTGTTTCAAGTATTGATAAAAGCGGAATTGTGAAATAATATTTCTTAATAAGCAGTCAGTTTTGCCAGAATTTGTCAAAGTAAGCTCTAAAACATCGCTGATGTATTATTGACTTGCAAGTCAATGATTCAACCTCATGTTAATCTGTATTCTTGTGACAGTGATTTTCCTAGTGCTTAGGGGAAGGGACCCAGGGCCCATGCAATTGGGAATTAAAGTTCGTGAAATGTTGGCTTTGGGGAAAATATATTAGTACGTTTATACGGAGGGCACACGGCCATGTGCAACTTGCTAGGGGGGTTTTGGTACATGCCCCCAAGAAAATTTTGAAAAATTAGGTGCAAAATCCTGCATTCTGAGAAGGAATAACTGCATGAATTGCAAACAAGATTCCATTTTTATATAAAATATGGAATTTTTGAATACCGTATAAGAATAATGCTATCTCCAAATCAAAATCTGAAAATGAAAGAATTTCAGTAATTGGAACAGTTAATTATAAATTCAGGGAAGAAAATTAAAACGAAAGTATTGCTTAAACTTAAATTGTAAAAAATTGTTGGAAAAATAATAGTTATTTTGGTGTTACCTATGAATTAACTTTTACCACTGCATTGTATGCATGAAGTCTAACTCGTATCTGCATTTTTGACAATAGGTTATGATGGCTTTATCATGGCTGTTTATTTCTGGATGTGTAATAGCAGTACCTGTGTTTGCAGTGACCGCTGCATCAATATACCTCATCTCTGTCAGGAGGAAGTACAGTCATATTCCAGGGCCACCAAGAGATAGGTAAGATATAATTTTTGTCCCAGAAGTACAGTCATATTCCAGGGCCACCAAGGGATAGGTGAGATAACATTTAACTTTTTTGTCACAGGAAGTACTGTCATATTCCAGGGCCACCAAGAGATAGGTAAGATAACATTTTTGTCACAGGAAGTACAGTAATTTTCCAGAGCCACCAAGGGATAGTTAAGATAACATTTTTGTCACAGGAAGTATACCGGGGTAGTAATATTCCAGGGCCACCAAGGGATAGGTAAGATATAACTTTTGTCACAGGAAGTACAGTCATATTCCAGGGCCACCAAGAGATAGGTAAGATAACATTTTTATCACAGGAAGTACAGTCATATTCCAGGGCACCAAGAGATAGGTAAGATAACATTTTTGTCACAGAAGTACAGTCGTATTCCAGGACCACCAAGAGATAGGTAAGATAACATTTTTATCACAGGAAGTACAGTCATATTCCAGGGCACCAAGAGATAGGTAAGATAACATTTTTGTCACAGAAGTACAGTCGTATTCCAGGACCACCAAGAGATGGGTAAGATAACATTTTTATCACAGGAAGTAAAGAGATAGGTAAGATAACATTTTTGTCACAGGAAGTATAGTAATATTCCAAGACCACCACAAGTAAAGAAGGATACCATTTATTCCTATAGGTAAGGTACCAAGAGTTATATTCTAGGATCACTAATTGATTGGGAAGATACAATCTCTATCAAGAGGAAATGCAGTCATATTCTAGGACTACTGATAAAAGTAAGGTACCTTTTCCTGGAGGAAGACAACTAAGGTACTCTACCAGGAGTCCGAGAGGTAAGGGACCATATCTATCAGGAGGAAAACATATCTTCTCCAGGAGTCAGAAAGGTAAAGACTAAAAGTGCCATATCTATCAGGAGGTAGAATATATCTCCTCTAGGAGTCAGAGAGGTAAAGTACCATATCTATCAGGATGTAGAACATATCTCCTCCAAGAGTCAGAGAGGTAAAGTACCATATATAACAAGAGGTAGAACATATAACCTCCAGGAGTCAGAGAGGTAAAGAATCATATGTACCAGGAGGTAGAACATATCCTTTTCAGAAAGTTAGGGTACCATCTCCATCAAGAGGAAGAACAGTCATAATTGATGGCCATCAAGAGATTAGTGAGATACTAGAAATACAGTAATGTATCAAATCTTAAATTGTCAGAAAACTCCTTATAGGAGACTATATATATAGTGTTGGTTTTTTTTTTATTGATTTCATCATTTTTATACGACCGCAAAAAAATTTTGCAGTCGTATATTGGTATGACGTTGGCGTCGTCATCGTCCGAAGACACATTGGTTTTCGCACTCTAACTTTAGTTTAAGTGAATGGATCTCTTTGAAATTTTACCATAAGGTTCAATACCACAAAAGGAAGGTTGGGATTGATTTTGGGGGTTATGGTACCAACAGTTAAGGAATTAGGGGCCAAAAAGGGACCAAAAATAAGCATTTTCTAGTTTCCAGACAATAACTGTGGAACAGTGTATGGATCTCTCTGAAATTATACCACAAGTTTCCATACCACAAAGGGATGGTTAGGATTTGCTTTGGGGGGTTATGGCTCAAACCGTTTAGGAATTAGGGGCAAAAAAGGGGGAAAAACAAGGTTGTCCTGGTTAATGGTCAAATACTTTAGTACAAAACATAATTTAAAGCAGTGTAAGGGAGATAAATCAAATACATCATTTGAATTACCTCCCTTACACTGCTTTTAAATTATGTATAAAGTAATGGTTAATGAACAATTAAGATAATTTAAAACAGTGTAAGGGAGGTAATCCAAATACAACGTTTTGGTTTCTTCCCTTACACTGCTTTTAAATTATGTTTAAAGAAATGCATATTTATAAAGGAAGACCAGTAAAAATATCTGCAAATGTTGCATCTTTTTTTTTTTACAAAAAAATCCATATGAAAGATTTGACACCATATTTTAAATTCTCTTATAAAATAGATTAAGTTAGCACTATGGTAAATTTTAATGGGTAATTATGGTTGCAAACTCCATTGGAAATTTGAATTGAGATTATGACCATATCTTGAGGGAAAGAATTTTTTGGGGGAAAAAGGGGGGGGGGGGGGGGGGGGTAAAAAGAAATTGTGGGGGGTCAATTTTTTTCTCATTTCAGATTTCAGAAATTAACAAGAATTATTCTTCAAATATTTTTTTTTTTTCAAATTTCAAATATTGAAAAATTTCAAGAAGTAATCTTTAATTGCACAGTATGGCGCATTAGATTTGTAAAATCTTTGACCACATTTATTTATTTGTTATGCCGAATCTAACCGTGTATTTAGATTTTTAATTTTGGGTCCAGTTTTCAAATTGGTCTACATTAAGGTCCAAAGGGTCCAAAATTAAACTTTGTTTGATTTCAACAAAAATTGCATATATTGGGTTCTTTGATATGCTGAATCTAACCATGTATTTAGATTTTTTATTTGTGGGCCCCGCTATCAAATTGGTTCATATTGAGGTCAAAAGGGTCCAAAATTAAACTTTGTTTGATTTCATCAAAAATTGAATTATTGGGGTTCTTTGATATGCCAAATCTAACTGTGTATTTAGATTTTTAATTTTGGGTCCCGTTTTTTAAATTGGTCTACATTAAGGTCCAAAGGGTCCAAAATCAAACTTAGTTTGATTTTAACAAAAATTGAATTCTTGGGGTTCTTTGATATGCTGAATCTAAACATTTGTTTAGATTTTTGATTATGGGCCCAGTTTTCAAGTTGGTCCAAGTTGGGGTCCAAAATTAAACTTTGTTTGATTTCAACAAAAATTGAATATATGGGGTTCTTTGATATGCTGAATCTAACCATGTATTTTGATTTTGGATATTGGACCATAATAGGTAAATTAAAAAAATTTGAAGTTCTTAGACCACATTCTTTCTGTGTCAGAAACCTATGCTGTGTCAAATATTTAATCACAATCCAAATTCAGAGCTGTATCAAGCTTGAATGTTGTGTCCATACTTGCCCCAACTGTTCAGGGTTCGACCTCTGCGGTCGTATCAAGCTGTGCCCAGCGGAGCATTTTATTGTCTATTATCTTTAATATTATAATTAATGAATAGAAATTGTAACCAGCAAAAGTGATTAGCAAAAGAAGATCTACAGATAAGTCAAATAGCTGAAATAATCAATCCACAACTTATAGGAGTTATTGCCCTGAAAGACAATTTCTCTCAAATTTAGCACCATTAGCTAATATCTCGCAAATTATAATAGAGAGACAGAAACTAATAACAACAATAACTAGTATCTCAATTGTTTGTAAAACAATTGATAGGTCTTTCCTGTAAAAGTGATGATTTCGTATTGTATTTATGACGACCTTTCATTTGATATATTTGACAAGCATACCTTCTGAAACTTTTTGCTTTTTACACTTAATGACCCCATCCGCCTAAATTTTCGTGATCGGAAGTATGATATATGTAATGTAGACTTGAAGATATTTCATTTGATATGCGTCAACGCCATATTCCAGAAAGTTTGATTTTTGTCGAGCCTTCGACTTTTGTCGAAAAAGCGAGACATAGCAATCCTACATTCCGTTGGCGTCGTTGTCGTCGTTGTCGTCGGCGGCGTCCACAAATATTCACTCTGTGGTTAAAGTTTTTGAAATTTTAATAACTTTCTTAAACTGTCCTAGATTTCTACCAAACTTGGACAGAAGCTTGTTTATGATCATAAGATTATATTCAAAAGTAAATTTTGTAAAAAAAAAATTCCATTTTTTCCGTATTTTACTTATAAGTGGACTTAGTTTTTCTGCCAGGAAACATTACATTCACTCTGTGGTTAAAGTTTTTGAAATTTTAATAACTTTCTTAAACTATCCCGGATTTCTACCAAACTTGGAAAGAAGCTTGTTTATGATCATAAGATAGTATCCAGAAGTAAATTTTTAAAAAAAAAAATTCCATTTTTTCTGTATTTTACTTATAAATGGACTTAGTTTTCTGCCAGTTAACATTACATTCACTCTGTGGTTAAAGTTTTTAAAATTTTAACAACTTTCTTAAACTATCCTGGATTTGTACCACACTTGGACAGAAGCTTGTTTATGATCAAAAGCTAGTATCTAGAAGGAAATTTTGATAAAATTTTGTTCCATTTTTTCCGTATTTTACTTATAAATGGACTTAGTTTTTCTTCCAGTCAACATTACATACATTCTGCAGTTTAAGTTTTTAAAACATTTATTAGATTCATAAATTATCCTGGATTTTACCAAACTTGGACAGAAGCTACTTACAATCAAAAGATAGTATAGAGAGGAATATTTTTATTAATTTTTTTCCTCATTTTTGTTGAGCCTGCGATTAACACCAAAAGTAGGCGAGACACTGGGTTCCGCGGAACCCTTACAAATTTTTGCACTTAATAACCCCATCCAACCAATTTTTAGGGAACAGGAATTTGATATTTGAAATGTACACGTTATGACCTTTCATTTGATATACAACAAACTTATCTTAAAAGAAAATGTATGTTTTGCACTCAATGACCCCACCAAACCCATTTTTGGGGACGTCAATTTGTTCAAAATGTACGCTTTATATACTTTCATTTGATATGCGACAACCTAACCATACGAGAAGTTTAATATTCTTGCACTAAATGACCCCACCCTTCCTACTGGGATGAAAAAGGGGTTTAAAATTTTCATTTTTGAGTAGAGCTCATTTATATGTTCAATTTGATATACACAATGACCGCATTTGCCAAATAGCCAAAAATGATGCAATATCAGCAGTTGAAGGGCAACATTGCATGAAAAAATTGAAGACAATTCCAAAGTTCATCAAGGTCACAATGAATCATCAAATATATGATGCAATACAAAACTTAAGAACCGGAAGTCGTAGAGACATAAGACTACCACCATTCAACTCAGGACAACTTGACCATTAAAATATCACAAGGTCAAGGTCGTAGTACACTTTGAAGGTCAAGGTAAAATTTCATCATGACCTGACATTGACCTCAAATTGAAGGTCTTTAAATACTGATTATTTTTGCAATTTATAGTACATTGATATCTGTTACCTTTATAAAGATATACACACAATAATATACTTTTAAGAATTATCTCGTGGTAACTTTTGAACAGATGGTCGGACAGTTTTGAGCTTAATGTATAAAATGTAGAGCTCGTTTAGAGGAACATTTTATACACAGTATGTATGCAGCAAACTCTTATCGTTTTCTTAATATGTAAGGTTGAAATTGCAGCGTAAATTGTTTTTGCACTCACTGACCTTTGACCTTGGGTGCAAGTTAAAGGTCACATGAATTAAAGATTATTGGTGAAAGTCCCAAGTCTCTACGACTTCCGGTTCTCGAAATACAATTTTTAAAAAATTGAGTAATTTTTTTCAAGGGAAATAACTTCTTATAAGGATTGATAACATACTAATTGTTTATGTTTATTAACATTGCCCTTTGTTCCTGTAGATGCTGCCATTTTCAATTCGATTCTATCTCTTATACTTTTTAAGAAAAATGCAAATAAAAGAAATTGCTTCAAGGGGATGCAACTCTCAAAGGAGTCGATTAAATCCTACGCAGCCTAGTATGGTAATACATCATGATGAGATCTACCTATAGTACAAATAAGGTCATGATATCTTTAAAAACAACGAGGGGGGACCATGTTGAAAAAACCCAATAAAAGGGAGATAACTTCCAAAGGAGTTGATGAAATTCCTAACAGAGTCATCTGGTAGTACTTCACAATGAGGTCTATCGATGGTTCAAATTTGGTCATGATAACTTTAATAGAAACGAGGGGAGGGCATGTCAAAAAAATGTTGGAAGAAAAAAAAGAAAAAAAAAAAAAAAGAAAAAGAAAAAAAAAACATTAGAAAAACAATAAGGTCTTTCCTAACGGAGTGGAAAGACCTTAATGATCAGCAATACAAGATCTACAAAAAAGTCATATAATAAAAATCTGTAATGGACACTTTTAATGGAGTTATTGCCCATATTTGTGTTTTGACTATTATCTTGAAAATTATAAAAGATTCTTTGATGAGCAATTGTGACCAGCAAGACAAGATCTACAAATAGTTAAAAATTAAGGAGATGTGGTATGGTTGCCCTTGAGAAAAATATCAAACAGAAACCAAAGGATGAGGATGTAAACAACTATAGGTCAAAATGTTGTAAATACAGCGCGAACACAATGCTGGAACGTCACTTATTTCATATATTATAATGTAAAGACTGTGACGTTACACACTTGTATACTTGAACATTCTAGATAGATTACAACTTATAACATGTAGAACGTTTTCTTCCTTTATTCACGTATTCTCGACACATCCTTCAATAATGAGAAAGAATTAGGTTAAAATTACTGAAACGTCAATTGACTCCTAATAGGATTTATTGCATTTAAATGGCCTATTTTTATCACTTTTTTCTGTTTTAAGCTTTATTTGTGAAAGGCATAGTTGACAAACATAAATATAAACAGCAAAAATGCTCAGCAAGACAAGATCTACCACAGTCAAACATGACCAAAATGATTTATTGACATAGGATAATTATTCATTTTTGCATTTGTGACAATTATCTTGAAAACGTAAATAGATAGGTGAAAATGTAAAGAAAAAAATATCGAATTGGTCTTAATATTTCCTAGGGTCCTTGAAGCTGATATTCTATAATATTTCTCAGGTCCTTGTGGTTGCATAGGTGATTGATTCAGGCTCCTAGGGGCCTTTAGTTTCTGATACTATAACATGCTGTACATACTGTTGACTCATTAATATTCATGGGATACCAACTTTGTTGGCTTTCATTGAAAAAAAGGTGAACCACAAATTTACATGTTCAACGAATCACAAAAAATTTGTATGCAGCTATATTGGCAAAACAATGAATTTAAATATCCATGAAAATGCAAGTTTTCATCAAACCACAAAAATTGGTACCCACGAAAATAAATGAATCTACAGTATATGTCTTTAGATTATATGGGTTAAGTCATAAAATGTATTGAATGAATTGATTCAAATCATTTCAAAAAGATTGTAATTCTTTTTAATTTTTCAGTTTTTTCCTTGGTCATATTCCTACTTTCAAGAAATATTTAAATGAAGGAAAGTTCTTCAGTGAAATGGCTATTGAATTGTAAGTACTTATGTAAAACTGCAACTTTTTATGATACAGATTTACTAGTTCATTTATTGTGAGGACATCATAATATTTTTCTTCAGAGGCCTGCAAACAAGATGAGGTTACATGGCTGATTAAAAAAGAATTATCATTTAAGTAAAGTTTTACATAGGACCTCTTGAATAAAACACATTATTTTCTTATGCTTTGAACAACATGACCAATTTAAGTTCAATATAGGTTTGAATTTTTCTAGTGCCTAGATTCTAAACTGTAATTGCTGAAGCAGTCTGCTAAATGAGAACCTAGCTTCAACTTAAAAACTAAAATGCTACAGACTTTGTGGAGCCTCTAGTTCAATATAATCTTAAACTAAATTTGTAGAGTTTTCTGATACTTGTAAATCAAATATCTTTTTCCTCAGCTAGATCTGATATTCTGGGTTGTTGGAGGTCAACCAAACTGTTTTCAATATTTGCATAATTAAAGTAAACTCCAAGTAGGTTTTTGATTATGCAGAGGCGAATTTAGGGGGTGCCCGAGATGCCCAGGGCCTCCCCTTGTGGAGCTTAATTTATGGTTAATCAAGACTTTTTACTACTGCTTCCACTACAAATTTTGTTTAGTTTGAGGGCACATGGGCTCCCCCCCCCCTTTTTCAAAATCTGTTATGCATAAATCTGTGGAAATTCTGGCTGCAATGTTCTCCAAGATTTGACTTTCCTATAAAACTGCATTCCTTAACAAGAAATAATGGCCCTGTAGTAACAGGATTAAATCAATGTGGAATCATAACTGTGATGTGATTATGTTTTCAGATTTCTTTTTATTATGTATTAAGCTATACAAATGATATTTTTAGCATCAGAAAATATGGTCATGTGATTAAGATAGAATTAGTGGAAAGAATTATAGTCATAACTGCTGATCCACAAGCAATCAGGGTAGGTTTGATTAAATGCTATTGACCATCCACAAGCAAACCCTTGATGAATGAACTAATAATTTTACCAAAACTTTTGGTTTCAATTACCGGTATATATTCTATTCTATTGTCTTAATTTTCTTAATGGATTTGTTTTTTAATTTTATGGTTGGGTTGCTGTTTTGATTGATGTATCCCACCATAGTTGCTTCTTCATTTTTTTTTTACCTTGCTGAAAGGGTCAGTGTAAGCTTTCCACATCACTTGACATTCTTTGTTTCTCATAAATCTTTTCCTCACAAATCATTTGGCCAATTGAAAAAAAACTGAACACAATCATAAGTTTGTTTGTCTCATTTCAAATTTTATCTGATGTTCCTGGTGATCAACTAATGTAGCAGCATTTATATAAAATAAGTAGTTGTAAAATCTGTCAAATAAAGTTAAAGAAATCTGAAAAATCCTTAAAATGCCAATTACATTTACTGCAAACAAAAATTCAAACTTCTGTTGTTGCAACATGTTTATATTCAATCTAAAAAGAAAATAATAGGAATGAGAGGACCAGACTGGTTGATCTCATTTTTATACGCCTGTCAAAATTTTGACGGGACGTATTATGGTATACAAATGTCTTCTGTCCGTCTGTCCATCTGTCTGTCCCACGTAAACATGTTGCACCGTAACTTGAGAACGACTTATCCAAAATTCATGAAACTTAACATAGTTGTTTCTTATGATGGTCAAACGATCTGTATACTTTTTGGTGAAAATAAGATTAAAACTTTTTGAGTTATGGGACTTAGTAACTAAAACAGGTGTGTGTTTTTTTCACATGTCGCGCCGTATCTCAAAAACAATTTATGATTATAGCTTAAAACTTTACACACTTCTTAGTTATATTAATCTTAAGGTTATATTAATCTCAAGATCTGTATACATTTTGGTGATGATTCAAGGGGAGGGGTTTTTCATATGTCGCGCCGTATCTCAAAAACGATTTATGATTATTGCTTAAAATTTTACACACTTCTTAGTTATATTAATCTAAAGATCTGTATACTTTTTGGTTTTGATTTAAAATTTCATTTTACAGATATTGATTTTTTTTTTTAAAAAGGGGGGTTTTCACATGTCTCGCCGTATCTCAAAAACAATTTATGATTATTGCTTAAAATTTTACACACTTCTTAGTTATATTAATCTTAAGATCTGTATACTTTTTGGTTTTGATTCAAAATTTTATTTTAGAGATATTGAGTTTTTTGTAAAAAAAAGGGGGGTTTTCGCGTGTTGCGCCGTATGTCAGAAACTATTTATGATTATTACATTTACTGCAAACAAAAATTCAAACTTCTGTTGTTGCAACATGTTTATATTCAATCTAAAAAGAAAATAATAGGAATGAGAGGACCAGACTGGTTGATCTCATTTTTATACGCCTGTCAAAATTTTGACGGGACGTATTATGGTATACAAATGTCTTCTGTCCGTCTGTCCATCTGTCTGTCCCACGTAAACATGTTGCACCGTAACTTGAGAACGACTTATCCAAAATTCATGAAACTTAACATAGTTGTTTCTTATGATGGTCAAACGATCTGTATACTTTTTGGTGAAAATAAGATTAAAACTTTTTGAGTTATGGGACTTAGTAACTAAAACAGGTGTGTGTTTTTTTCACATGTCGCGCCGTATCTCAAAAACAATTTATGATTATAGCTTAAAACTTTACACACTTCTTAGTTATATTAATCTTAAGGTTATATTAATCTCAAGATCTGTATACATTTTGGTGATGATTCAAGGGGAGGGGTTTTTCATATGTCGCGCCGTATCTCAAAAACGATTTATGATTATTGCTTAAAATTTTACACACTTCTTAGTTATATTAATCTAAAGATCTGTATACTTTTTGGTTTTGATTTAAAATTTCATTTTACAGATATTGATTTTTTTTTTTAAAAAGGGGGGTTTTCACATGTCTCGCCGTATCTCAAAAACAATTTATGATTATTGCTTAAAATTTTACACACTTCTTAGTTATATTAATCTTAAGATCTGTATACTTTTTGGTTTTGATTCAAAATTTTATTTTAGAGATATTGAGTTTTTTGTAAAAAAAAGGGGGGTTTTCGCGTGTTGCGCCGTATGTCAGAAACTATTTATGATTATTACATTTACTGCAAACAAAAATTCAAACTTCTGTTGTTGCAACATGTTTATATTCAATCTAAAAAGAAAATAATAGGAATGAGAGGACCAGACTGGTTGATCTCATTTTTATACGCCTGTCAAAATTTTGACGGGACGTATTATGGTATACAAATGTCTTCTGTCCGTCTGTCCATCTGTCTGTCCCACGTAAACATGTTGCACCGTAACTTGAGAACGACTTATCCAAAATTCATGAAACTTAACATAGTTGTTTCTTATGATGGTCAAACGATCTGTATACTTTTTGGTGAAAATAAGATTAAAACTTTTTGAGTTATGGGACTTAGTAACTAAAACAGGTGTGTGTTTTTTTCACATGTCGCGCCGTATCTCAAAAACAATTTATGATTATAGCTTAAAACTTTACACACTTCTTAGTTATATTAATCTTAAGGTTATATTAATCTCAAGATCTGTATACATTTTGGTGATGATTCAAGGGGAGGGGTTTTTCATATGTCGCGCCGTATCTCAAAAACGATTTATGATTATTGCTTAAAATTTTACACACTTCTTAGTTATATTAATCTAAAGATCTGTATACTTTTTGGTTTTGATTTAAAATTTCATTTTACAGATATTGATTTTTTTTTTTAAAAAGGGGGGTTTTCACATGTCTCGCCGTATCTCAAAAACAATTTATGATTATTGCTTAAAATTTTACACACTTCTTAGTTATATTAATCTTAAGATCTGTATACTTTTTGGTTTTGATTCAAAATTTTATTTTAGAGATATTGAGTTTTTTGTAAAAAAAAGGGGGGTTTTCGCGTGTTGCGCCGTATGTCAGAAACTATTTATGATTATTACATTTACTGCAAACAAAAATTCAAACTTCTGTTGTTGCAACATGTTTATATTCAATCTAAAAAGAAAATAATAGGAATGAGAGGACCAGACTGGTTGATCTCATTTTTATACGCCTGTCAAAATTTTGACGGGACGTATTATGGTATACAAATGTCTTCTGTCCGTCTGTCCATCTGTCTGTCCCACGTAAACATGTTGCACCGTAACTTGAGAACGACTTATCCAAAATTCATGAAACTTAACATAGTTGTTTCTTATGATGGTCAAACGATCTGTATACTTTTTGGTGAAAATAAGATTAAAACTTTTTGAGTTATGGGACTTAGTAACTAAAACAGGTGTGTGTTTTTTTCACATGTCGCGCCGTATCTCAAAAACAATTTATGATTATAGCTTAAAACTTTACACACTTCTTAGTTATATTAATCTTAAGGTTATATTAATCTCAAGATCTGTATACATTTTGGTGATGATTCAAGGGGAGGGGTTTTTCATATGTCGCGCCGTATCTCAAAAACGATTTATGATTATTGCTTAAAATTTTACACACTTCTTAGTTATATTAATCTAAAGATCTGTATACTTTTTGGTTTTGATTTAAAATTTCATTTTACAGATATTGATTTTTTTTTTTAAAAAGGGGGGTTTTCACATGTCTCGCCGTATCTCAAAAACAATTTATGATTATTGCTTAAAATTTTACACACTTCTTAGTTATATTAATCTTAAGATCTGTATACTTTTTGGTTTTGATTCAAAATTTTATTTTAGAGATATTGAGTTTTTTGTAAAAAAAAGGGGGGTTTTCGCGTGTTGCGCCGTATGTCAGAAACTATTTATGATTATTACATTTACTGCAAACAAAAATTCAAACTTCTGTTGTTGCAACATGTTTATATTCAATCTAAAAAGAAAATAATAGGAATGAGAGGACCAGACTGGTTGATCTCATTTTTATACGCCTGTCAAAATTTTGACGGGACGTATTATGGTATACAAATGTCTTCTGTCCGTCTGTCCATCTGTCTGTCCCACGTAAACATGTTGCACCGTAACTTGAGAACGACTTATCCAAAATTCATGAAACTTAACATAGTTGTTTCTTATGATGGTCAAACGATCTGTATACTTTTTGGTGAAAATAAGATTAAAACTTTTTGAGTTATGGGACTTAGTAACTAAAACAGGTGTGTGTTTTTTTCACATGTCGCGCCGTATCTCAAAAACAATTTATGATTATAGCTTAAAACTTTACACACTTCTTAGTTATATTAATCTTAAGGTTATATTAATCTCAAGATCTGTATACATTTTGGTGATGATTCAAGGGGAGGGGTTTTTCATATGTCGCGCCGTATCTCAAAAACGATTTATGATTATTGCTTAAAATTTTACACACTTCTTAGTTATATTAATCTAAAGATCTGTATACTTTTTGGTTTTGATTTAAAATTTCATTTTACAGATATTGATTTTTTTTTTTAAAAAGGGGGGTTTTCACATGTCTCGCCGTATCTCAAAAACAATTTATGATTATTGCTTAAAATTTTACACACTTCTTAGTTATATTAATCTTAAGATCTGTATACTTTTTGGTTTTGATTCAAAATTTTATTTTAGAGATATTGAGTTTTTTGTAAAAAAAAGGGGGGTTTTCGCGTGTTGCGCCGTATGTCAGAAACTATTTATGATTATTACATTTACTGCAAACAAAAATTCAAACTTCTGTTGTTGCAACATGTTTATATTCAATCTAAAAAGAAAATAATAGGAATGAGAGGACCAGACTGGTTGATCTCATTTTTATACGCCTGTCAAAATTTTGACGGGACGTATTATGGTATACAAATGTCTTCTGTCCGTCTGTCCATCTGTCTGTCCCACGTAAACATGTTGCACCGTAACTTGAGAACGACTTATCCAAAATTCATGAAACTTAACATAGTTGTTTCTTATGATGGTCAAACGATCTGTATACTTTTTGGTGAAAATAAGATTAAAACTTTTTGAGTTATGGGACTTAGTAACTAAAACAGGTGTGTGTTTTTTTCACATGTCGCGCCGTATCTCAAAAACAATTTATGATTATAGCTTAAAACTTTACACACTTCTTAGTTATATTAATCTTAAGGTTATATTAATCTCAAGATCTGTATACATTTTGGTGATGATTCAAGGGGAGGGGTTTTTCATATGTCGCGCCGTATCTCAAAAACGATTTATGATTATTGCTTAAAATTTTACACACTTCTTAGTTATATTAATCTAAAGATCTGTATACTTTTTGATTTTGATTTAAAATTTCATTTTACAGATATTGATTTTTTTTTTTAAAAAGGGGGGTTTTCACATGTCTCGCCGTATCTCAAAAACAATTTATGATTATTGCTTAAAATTTTACACACTTCTTAGTTATATTAATCTTAAGATCTGTATACTTTTTGGTTTTGATTCAAAATTTTATTTTAGAGATATTGAGTTTTTTGTAAAAAAAAGGGGGGTTTTCGCGTGTTGCGCCGTATGTCAGAAACTATTTATGATTATTGCATAAAAATTCACACACAAATGACTGGCGTATCATGTGCTCATGGCGCAGCTGTTTATTGAGTATGTGAGACAGTCACAAGGTTGTTTTGTCAGCTGGTGTAAACATAACACAAATATATAATGCCATCTGACCAATATTTTAACTGGCAAGGAGAAACGTCAACAATTCAATTATTTACAATGTGAAACACAAGAAACATTTCATTTAAAAATTTTTCTTACATTCACAAAGTTTATTTAGTAAGGTTCTGTGTTCTGCAGTAGAATAGTTGTTGATATCAATTAAGAAATAATTTTTCATGTCATGCTCAATACTAATTTTAAAATAATGCCTACCCATGTTAAAAGGAGCATAGAACATGACATGATAAGTCAAATAGAAAAGAAGAGCATCATATTAGAATGTGTATTAAAACATGATTTCTAAGATTGAGTATTCTGACCTTCCTTTCAAGTATGAATGTCTGCTTTAAGGAATATCAATTTTTCTTTGATAATACATCTAGCTGTGTTTTTTATGGTCTGTATTAATGACTTAAGTGCCATTTCTGTAATGATTGTTAATTTATTGTGCATTTTTTCTTTTCAATTTTAGTTTTTTCACTATTTGAGGTAGTTAAGAGAGAGTTGAATATTCTCAAAAATTAGTTCAACCTTGACACAGGTGCATGTGGCTATATCATGTGCTCTAAATGTTGTTAAATTTAAAGCATGACAAGACTGTATGTAAACTCCAGATTTTGATTGTGTTGTTGGGTTGCTGATTCATTGACATTTTTCCTAAAATCACTATTTTTATGTACTACTTAATAAAAATAACTAAAATATTGTTTATTCATTACAGGAGTTAATGATTACAGGGAACCATACTAAGTCAAAGAAGGCTTATGAAAAATTAGGGTTTTTATTTGGTGAAAGGTAAATATATTTGTTTAGGCAATTGTTATCAAAGTAGATAATGTAAACAATTGTTATCAAAATGAAAATGAAGACAATTGTTATCAAAATAGATAAAACTTAGTTCAATTAGTTTTAATTTAGAATTTCACATATATACATTGCCTATACAATCAACCTAACAATACAGTTGTCACTACATATAGGCAGACACATATATATATAATAATAGCTATTACATTCTTAAGTTGTTTCAAGATGATGTCAAAGTATATTTTTGTCTGATAATATTAGAATGATTTTTTTTTTGAGTGAACTATCCATAATCACAGTATTTACATGGATTGAAACCTATGAATGTTTAGTTCCTGCCAAAATGACCCATTATAGTTACGTAACAAAGTTTGTTTCCAGGTGCAGTTATGCATAATTGTTTGGGTCTGAAACAGAGGTCGATCTACATGAAATTTCATACTTGCTTCAGTAAAAACCTTTAATAATGATTAAAATTTAAATTATCTCAGTGACATGGACTTTCATATATTTCTCAGAAATCTACCATGCTACTGCTGGTGTCTGAGACAATAATGATTAAAAACAGGAAATTTAGACTTGATTATAGCTTACAAATGAATGTAGAACTATGATATGACTGGGTTTATTTTGACTATCAAATGGGAGAAAAATCAGAAAATCATCATTTTTGTTTCGCCTGCTAATAAAGTAACAGAATGCAAGACATAGGGATTACAATCTGGCTGCAGCAGCTTTGTAAACTATTTGTATTTTGCTTTATATTTTATGGGGAAGAAGACTTGGATGCTTCATACCTTGTATACAGATGTGTTTAAACTCTTTTTTTCTGTGTCATTGAATTAAAAGTTTTGATTTTTAAATCTCAATTGTTAATGTTAAAGTGATGCAGTAAATAGTCCGAATTTTTTCAATATTATTTAAGTCTCTTGTCAGGTTCAATTACATACATATGGAAAACTAGATGTCACAAAAACATTGAGTAGACAGAAACAGCCTTGCAGCACTCTCATGCTTTGATTTATAGGGTGCTGTCATTTTTATTAGAATTTATTTTTTGTATTCTGTATTAAAAAACATATTCATATTATTAGTCCCCTACCGACAAAGTCGGAGGGGACTTTAGGTTTCCACTCCGTCCCTCTGTGTCTGTCCGTCTGTCTGTCTGTCCGTCTGTCCATCTGTCCGTCTGTCCATCTGTCAGTCCGGCAAATCAGCTTTCCACACTTTTTTGTTTTCGTTCTTGAAGATATTGATTTGATATTTGGTATATAGTTTTATCATGACAAGTTATAGATCAAGTTCAAATTTTGTTCCAGTCTGATGATTTAGTCCAGAGTTATGGACCATAACTCTGGACCATATCTAATGTTAGAGTACTATGTTAAACCATATTTCTGTACAAAGGGAGATAACTCATTTTTTTAAAGACATTCTTTGTTAAATTATTTGAAGAATATTTTGGCAGGTTTGTTTGTTATTTAGTATAAACTAATTTTCTGAATGCTAGATGCTATATATATAAAAAAAAATTATGAAGAGAAATCCTTTAATTAGATATTTCAATACATTACATTGTGTAGATAAAAGTTGTTGACATTTTATAGATAAGTTACAAATCTATATTAGTTTGTGACAAATGAAAGAAAAAATATTTGGAATTATTAATTATATTTGATTATAATTTGAAAATAGATATACACTTTATTACATCATATCTAATTTTAGAAAACTATTAATCATATCTAATGTTTTTTTTCACTCATAAAATCAGTTTTCCACACTGTTTTTAGTCATGCTTGAAGATATTGACATGATATTTACTTTTTGTTTACACCATGACAAGTTATAGAACAAGTTAGCATTTTGTTCCAGTAAAATGAGTTTTTACCCGGTAGGGGACTATGTATTGCCATGCAATACTCTCAGAATGCTTGTTAAATTTTCATTAAATTCTGTTATATTGTTCATTGACATCAAGCAGTTTAAAAAAAACTACCTGATTTGGTTCTGTAGTAAATAGCTGCCAGTCAAGATTTCTTCTTAATGTCTTTTCACAAATTCCTAAAGGATACACACATTTATTTTTTAAATGTTCTTGTTAATAGATTTATAGGTAAAGGACTAGTAGTAGAAACAGATCAAAAAGTATGGGTTTGGAGGAGAGCATTGATGAATCCTTGTTTTCAGAAAAGGTATGTGAAATATACTATTGTGTTATAAGCATCTGACCACTGAATAGGAAATATTACTATATAAACAGCTATATATGTATGTTGAGTTTCTGTAACTCTACTCTTTTGTTTATCTGCCTACCAGCCTTTTCTGCCTTCATACACAACTTTAGCTAAATTTCTTTCTCACTTTTCAAACCTTGATTTCAGTGTAGCATTCAGTTTCAGTGAAAATTTTATAAAAAACCTTCAGAACCTATGATACGGTACTGATGATATATATGTATTCTGTATTTCTTGTTCTATTTTTTTGACAAAAGTATGATTTTTGAGTAATATTGATGACTTTACAGAGTTGTACAACAGTTCCTGAAGATGTGCATATAGGAATATTATTCTGTTCCAACATGTTAAAAGGGAGATAATTGAACTTCCTTACTTCAATATACTTATTGTAGTGTGTGTGTTTGAAAGGAGGAATAATAGTATAATCCAAGGCTTCCAAAACGGTCATATATTCCAGACATTTGTATAATGTCCGGTAAAAGTCCAGCTGGATTAAGCATGAAACGGTCATCTACTTTTTAGTTTTCAAGGCTTTCTTAAGAGACGGTCATTTTAACATAATTCGCGATCTTTTTGACCCAACCTTTTGCCTTTAACAGCCACACATTTCCCGTCATAAAAGTGACATAATCATTAAGTACTATCAAATCAACCCCTACTTTAATACCTTCTCATTTTAATCAAGGCTAATTAGTTGTCGAACAGCTGAAATTTACCTGTTCAGGTGACAGGTAAACTATTTTGAACCAGACATTGATCGTTCTATTCAAAGTTATTTTCTTACATTTCAGCAGTTTGCATCTAATTAATTTAGTCAAAAAGATATAAATTATCAGAAATACGTTTACAAATATGATTTGATGAAAGAATTAAAAAGGTGAAAATGAAAAATCGTCATAACCACGTTGTTTGAACCAGAGACATGTCTCTGTTTGAACTAGTACACGTGTGTGCATGTGCGCAGGTGTTAAATTTAATTATGCATCCTAATTTCTTCAAAAAATGCTTAAATTGTCGCTGATACCTTTATCTCACGTTTATTTCGAATATTTTCTTGAAGAAATAACGTAGAAGGAGCTACTTACACTCATTCATGCTTTGCATGATGGCCAATTCGGAAACTGATTACCATAATTGCCTTTTGTTTATTTTGTCTTAAGGGATTAAAATCGGGATAATATATAAAATGTACAGCTGGCTAAAAACAATTTTGGAATCCCTGGTATAATCCTTTTGTGAATTAACTCACAGTTTTAGTTGATTACGTGCTCTGACAGGCCATGTGAGTTACTGACATCATTTTTAATCATTAGTTTCTAACAAAAAACATATTATTAGTAGTCAGAATGACTTGAGACCAAACTTTTAAGAATGTTCATTTGGAGTTGTGACAAAAATTCTTGTTGTGTCTATGTCAATTTTCAAGTCTTAGATTATGCCTTGGGATCTTGATAGTCAAAACTAAATCTTTAAGAGCTATTACACCATTTGAAACCAGCATAGAAGTAAGATTTCTTGTTAATAATGTACAAATTTAATAATTATAATCTTTCTTGTAAGACTCAAACTTTTTTTTGTATTTCACAGTTATATAAAAGGGCTAGAATCTGCTTTTAATACAGAAATAGATCTTCTTATAACTAAACTTGCTGGATTAGCAGACGGCAACACTCAAGTTTCCATGTTGGAAGAGTTTAATCATCTTACTTTGGATGTGATAGGGAAGGTTTGTTTAAATGGATAAATTAGAACCTAAAACTATTTATTTACTTATGAGTCATCCTGTTTCCAAGCAACAATAATGGAATAAAAATAGAATTTTTCTGGTAACAGGGCTTCTAACATTCATGTTAAATTTACTATTGATCATTTCACTTTTGTCAAATATAAAAAATGGTGTGCAGTATTTAACAAAACACTACTAGTGGTGTTTGTTCAATGTTCAAAAGTTCTTGAGAAAAGGATGAGAAATAAAGTATTTTTTTCCAAAAATTGATTGATTTTGTCTTGTTTAAAGCAAAGAAATGTTAGATGTTTTATATTCTATCAGATACAATTCAAACAAACATGTTCCATACTTGGTAGTTAATATAGCTTTTTGTATTATGATTTAGATTGGCTTTGGCATGCAGATGAACAATGTTGAAAACAGAACAGAGCCATCAGAATATACAAAAGCTATTAAATTAGCATTAGGTGGAGTGTCTGCATTTGTACGAGATCCATTCATGAAGGTAGTTGATACTTGATACATGTAGTAGCTATTTCTATTAACAGTGCATTGATTTAAAAACAAACGTAAGAAAAATCTTAGCAAATCGTGGGAACCACATTAAACAATCTGATTGGTATTATATTCCAAGAATACCTTGTATTGTTGTTACAAGAAATACAAAACTTAAAAAAAAAAAAAGGAGATGGTAAGATTTTGGTGCAAGAAAGCCCTTGTCTGAAGAAAATATGTTTAAGGATTTCTTTATTTTGTAAAATGTTGACTCCGTTTTCAGTAAAATATTTTAGCTTTTTTTTAAAGTTATATTGCTGTTTGATAATTATACATCAATGGAATAATAGTAATTTCTGTAAAATTTCAAAGTTACACAAAATCTTGACACATTTACTTATACATGCAGTGAAATGACATAGAGCACAACCCTTATCCAAAAGAAATTTATAAAATGAATGTGTACATTTAAAAATTAGATGTAGCATGATTGCCAATGAGACAACTCTCCACCATCAACCAAAATGACTTAGAAGGTAACAACTATAAGTTACCGTAGTTGGTTATTTCAAGGTAAAAATGGCATGAATTTAATTTTTCTTTCGATGACAGAAATGCATAGTTATTACACATATTTGTTAGTTGAAAATATTGAGTGCATGCAAGAACTAAGTAAATATTTGCCAGAGATGTGGTGTTCATACTGACAAACACTGTTGTAAATTATTCAATTGGTTATTGTATCTTCTGTTCATTTTTGAAAAATATAGCACCATGATGCTATAAGGCCCATGGGAGAAAACTGGATTTTGAAATATTATCATATCTACTTTCATTTTAAGTAGCTATTTGTTATATTAGTCATAATAAGAAAATGTTCTTTTATAGTTCAAATATTCAAAATGGAAATATTTAGCAGATGTGAAGAAGGCAATGAGAACATTGAGAGTTTTATCTAAGCAGAGTTTTGATGAAAGAAAGGAAAAAATAGAAAGGGGCGACTACACTCCAGATGACATATTAAATTTCCTTGTTAAAATGAAATGTGAGTAAGAAAGACACAGTAGCTTGTGCCAGACTTAAGGAAAAAACATCACTGGCCCTCTTAAAGAAAAATGGTTTATGACTCCAATAACAATCAAACTCTATTAAATTAAAAAATAACAACATTAAAACAAGAAAAATCTTTCAAATAGCAAGATGCTTTGGAACTCTCTGGCAGTTATACCACTTTTACTACAAATAGAAAAATTGAGGAAAAAAAGTAGTCAAGTGCTTAAAGAATATCCTAACGTCACATTACCCAATTTGCACCGAGTACCCAAATTGCACCTATTCAGCAAAAATAGCAGAGGAAATCTTACAAGACTAAACAATTTGTATTTTTTATGATTTGACATTATACACGTCTTTCAACATAGGTAAATATATTTAAATATACACAAAACGTTCACAGTATATATCAACAGATGAAGTATTCACTGGAAAAAGTAAAATCTACGGAAACGTCACCAAGCGACGTCCACAAAAAGTCATCTTTTTAAAATGAGCAAATAAAATATGTTACAAGCATCCATTTCTTAAAAAATGAATACTAAGCATGGACTAATGTCAAATTGTTCTAAATATTTGAAGAAATAAAACTAAACATCTGTTATTCGATTTAAAAGGATGCAAATTTAAGCTTGGATGCAATTTGGGTACTCCTCATTTAAGAATCATGGATCGTTTGGACGTCGGTTCAAACCCATTTTTCAATGATTCAATATGGATTCAAAATTAAATTGGTGTGACTACATAGAAAGAAAGGATACATCTACAAAATAAACACAGAATGGAAACTTTTGTCTGGATCATGTGGGAGCAACCATTTAACTTCAAGAGGGGGTTATGGTTTTTTGGCTGAGTCAGAATTTTTTTAAAGTTTTTCGATGCTATCAATCAAATTATTTTTTTCAAAATTTAACACTATAAGGTATGTGGAAAATCTGGATTCAGAATATTTTTCTTTGTCATCTGCTTGACCACTATATTTTTTTTCATCAAATTGGGGATCAGAATATTTTTTTTAGGAAAAAACCATAACCTCCCCATTGAAGTTAAATGGTCGTTCCATAAATAAACATAGGTGAAAAAACTGCCAAATTGGCAAAATAGGTGCAATTTGGGTACTGTCACGTTACATTGATAACTAAAGGATTAGGATTGATGACCTTTATTACCCTCATATATTTCTGCCACTGTTTTAAGAACATTTTCTTGCTCAAAACACAATGAAAGGAATTTATATAGATTGAAGAATGTCTTTTATGAGCAATAATTTGAAAAATTTTATTGATTATTTAACAGTAGAGAATCCTGAGTTGGATGGAGAAGTTATCCTTGATGATATCACTACATTTTTTCTGGCAGGTAAACTCACATAGATGCTTTAAACATTATGCAAAGGTTTAATAATTACCAGCAGAAGGATTTAACTGTATTTTTTTTCACCCATCATTTGCAGGAAGTAGTTTTATCTTACCTGTATTGAAAGTAATTTATTGTTATAATGGATAAAAGTAATGATACTCAATTAAATGCTCATTTCTCATTTTCTACTCTATAATGAATTTCCTCTGGTATGCTTGAAACTTAGTTTTGAAACCTTAGAGAGCACAAACAATGTGGACTGAAGAACTAAAAAGAGCAGGAATTTAATAACAAAAATGTATTCAGCACACCTACATTAGAGAAAGATGATCCTCAATTTATCAAAATTTATACTAATTATGAACTGTTATTTTTTAGCAAAAGTAGCTATAGTGTGACAGGCCAGTTCCAAACTTCTTTCTATATGTCATTAAAACAGGTCAAATTTGAATTTGACACATTTCACAAATATAGTTTCTCCTGAATGATTTGAGTTTGTTTCAACTACCGTTAGATCATTTGATGTTAAAAACAGTGCAAAGAATTATGAAATATAGTAAAGAGTATGCCTCATGATAGATATAAAGAACAATGTGATCATACATTGGTTTAATTTGGTAATAAATGAGTTGAGATATGATTTGATAACTTACTAACAAGAGAAACCCACATACTCAAGAACAATCTGAAAATCAGTATATATCAACAATAATAACAAAAAGTTTATCATTATTTTCTATGTTTTTTTTAATTTTTATTGAAGGACAAGAAACCTCAGCTAACTTATTAAGCTTTGCATTGATCTGTCTATGGCAAAATAAAGATGTACTTGAAAGGTAATTGGAAGCAATAAACATGACATGATGTACAGCAGACAATTTTCTATATATAGAGTAAAAAACAAATGAACAACTGCAGCTAATTATATGATCTTCAACAAAGAATGATTGACCCAGGTGTGAAAATTCTTTAATGAAAAACATAAACTCACTCATATGAAGAATATATTAAGAAGATCCCATAAATCAAGTGCTAAAATGACAAGGCAGAAAAATACCAAAACAATATAAACAACACAGTAACATTACAAATACAAAAAAGTACACTAATTGATAGTCTTTATCTCACGTTAGACAGGTGCAATTTAGCATGGCAGTTTTTATATGTATGCAAGTTCTATCCATTGCCTTATTTAGAAGTCAGGGGCCTCGGTGGCCGAGTGGTCTAAGTAGTCCAACTACTATATCACTAGCCTGTCATCACTGAGAGTCAACACTGAGGTTGTGAGTTCAATCCCTGCACGTAGCAGATGTGCTCAACTCCGATCTTAATTGACTAGGTTTGTCACTTTTCCTGTGGAAGGTCCATGGTTCTCTCAGGGCACTCTGGCTTCTTCCACCAATAAAAACTGACCACCATGAAATAGCCAACAGTGCTGAAAGTGGTGTTAAATATCAATCAATCAATCAGAGGTCAGTGGTGAACAACAAGAGGTCAAGATATAATCAAGATTTATTATATTATTACATGAAAATGGAAAATAAATAGATCAATAAAATGATCATAGTAGATGATAAAAAGCTCAAAAACCAAGTCTGCAGGTCAAAGATTATTTCTTGGATCAAAAATCTAAAATGATCATTTCATCAAATATGTGTATCAAACCATCAAATACAAATTAGATAGTTATGGTCTTAATACAACGAAAGAATATAAAAGTAATGCCAAAATATAAAATATACAAGTCATTGGAATATGTCAAATATTTACCAGTAATGATCAGTAATATATAATAACTAAAACAAGGAATTTGAATATTTACAAAAATTGTTTAACAAGACTGGCAGTATTTTACAATAAAAGCAGCAAACTATGTGAGGATATTTGAATAACATCATGATTATATCCTTTGGAAATGAGTTTGTGTGGAGGTGAAGCTAGTTAAGAGGTGGCTTGTAAAACAACGGTGATATGAAATTAAGTATATGATATAAATGTACCAATATTTAGAATAATGGAGGGCTGATGCATATAAAATGTATGTAACAGCAATATATTTTACAAAACAATTCCTTTACTTTTCTATATTTGCTTTCAAATGGTCAGTTCAATTTTACTTTCATCAATAGTTAATTAAAAAATTGTTACTTGTTGATACCATTATTGTTTAGGTGAAACATCAAAAGATTAACCTGGGCAATTTTGTTTTTTCTACAAAATGGAACTGACTAGTTTCAAGGAAATATGGACATGATGGTCAATAAAGAAAGTTTTACAAGTTTCTTGTTCAACTTATTAGATTTCTCCTATTTTTTGTTTGTTTGTTTCTGGATATTGTGTTTCAAAAATTATTTTGCATAACAAGTTTAATAATAAGAATTGTTTGGTATCACTCTGTTCTGTTTATAAAGATATTTTATTTCAGATTGAGAGCTGAAGTATCTGATGTAGTTGGAGATAGGCCTTACATAAGTGTAGAAGATACAAACAAAATGGAGTATTTAGATATGGTAATAAAAGAAACACTAAGACTTTATCCTCCAGCACCAAATACCTTCAGAGAAAATAAAACTGACATGGAAATACACGGATACAAAATACCTGCAGGAACAGGTATAATGGTAAGTAAATTAAATTGTGTGTAACAGAAAATATCATTATTTACAATATAGTTGCATAATTCATGTAGATATCTTTGTAAGATAAAGGCACTATTTGCCGATACTAATACATGTCTTTCTTTATTGATATACTTAAAAATGGAAAATTTCCAATGAGTTAAAAATACTGACACTGGACTGATATTGTGGTCTATACTTTATCCTTAAAGTTTTGTACGATTAGAGTGGTTCCAAGTGAAAGTATATTTGTCATTATTTGCTCGCAAGCAAATGAGACTTAAACAAGATGGCAAAAAGGAACATGCAGGCACCAGGAATTGAATAAAGTATTATCAATGTTGCAGAAATATTTGTTACTATATTATGAAAGAATTATTGCACTAATTTTGAGGCCTCAAGCTCATGCAATATGATATACTACTTGGAGCAATATTTCTCAATATTATTAATCGAATATTTTTTAGGAATTGTGATTCGTTAAAACTTGATCACATGTACATTTGTATTTACTCATTTTGCATGTCAATACTGTTGTGTGTAGCTTTTTGTATGTCAAAAACAGCATATTGCACAGGGCATACAGCATGTTACTAAAAGTACATTCTAGAAATCCCCAATTTTACATTGTTCATGCAATGGTTGTTGATAAATTAATATATAACAATTGTAGCCTTTGGTTGAGGTCAATACTATACATTTATTTCCCGTGCCGGAGGGAGATATGAAGATTTGTTCACCCAAGAATATTCATATTTCACGAGGGCTCTGCCCGAGGGAAATATGATTTTTCGAGGGTGAGCAAATCTTCATATCTCCCGAGGCAAAGGGAAATGAATGTTTTATTCCACTGCCTATGCTTTGTTTACTATCAATACATTAAATACTATTTTGCATACATTTTTTTTTCTTATCCGCTTGTTTGTGTAAGTCAAACTAAACACGACATACCCATTGATAAACAGTGAGGATCAAAATTTAATTATAAGTCTGTTTGTTTTATCGTCTGAAATAA